TTTGTTTTTGTTTTTTTCCCCAAGCAATTCAAGTTTTAACCTGGAGCTCAGTTTCACCCTTGCCAATGCTCTTGAGATATTTTTTTGCCAGGGATAAAGCATTCCAGTCATTGTTCCTAATGGGTTGTCTACTGCCAACTAACCACCACTTAAGGTCCCAGGTATCATCAGGGGAAATCTTTTCAGAAGCTCAGAGGATGACGAAGATTTACAAACTCAAAAATCTGGCATTTCTCAATCCAAGTTGGTGAACCGTTTAAATCCCCATTTGAAGTTACAGAGAATAGTACCCGCTATTTTCCACTTCTAATTACAGAAAGTTCTCTTGCCAAAATCTCCAACTCTAACCATAAAACCTAATTCTGCTTTCTGATGAAATAGTTAGCAGGGTTTATTTAAGATATGTGTGCTTAGTTAAAAAAAAAATACAGCCAGATATACTCAACATTCAACAGTAACAAACACCAACGCCTTAAGAAATTATTTAAAGGTTAATGAAGAGCTGCACTGATTCAAATATGTTCATTACCTGTACATTATCTGGGACCACTTCATTTAGGATTCACATAAAAAAAAAAAACAAAAAAAACAAATGTCTGTACAGCCTAGGACAGACTGAAACACTTCCCTGTTTTTAGTAGAAGCATTCTGGAATAACTCAAGTGAAATTAAGAAATTCAAACAGGTCTTAAAAATAATGATAAAAGGCCGGGCGGTGGTGCCACACGCCTTTAATCCCAGCACACGAGAGGCAGGCGGATCTCTGTGAGTTCGAGGCCAGCCTGGTCTACAGAGGTAGTTCCAGGAAAGCCAGCAAGCTACACAGAGAAACCCTGCCTCGAAAAACCAAAAAAAAAAAAAAAAAAAAAGATAAAAACATATTTACAACTGTGTTTTGTCTGTTTGTAGTCAGTAAATCTTTATTTAGAAGGAGTACATGGGACTCTTCTGCACTACAGTCATTTCCTGCTTCCAGTAAAATTTGGTGAATGTTACAACCAATTCTATCTCATTGAATGTTTTAATTAAGATATGAAGAAATCATGTCTTATACAAGGTTGGTTGGCAGATGCCTGTTACCTCAATACTTAAGAAACAGAGGCAAGAAGATCATAAGCTCAAGGCCGGTGTGGCTCTACAATGGTGGAGCCATTTTTAGAAAAACAAAACAGTTACTAGACATCCCAGCTTAACCTTGAAGTGTAAGTAATTCACTAATTTTTTACAAATGTTCTTAATTTCCAGTTTGTCATATTACTTTGTGAAAAAAAAATCGAGTTTACGGTATAATCCAGTACAAAGACTATTGCAGTCACAACTGTAGTCTCTATAAATAGCTAAATACATTTTAAAAACTAAGTTTAATCACTGAAAGTTGATAAGAATATCAAATGGATCAGAGTTTCATTATTTACTTCTTTTATATGAGAAAAAAATGGTTGCCTAGCAACTATTAGCATACACTTTAAAAAACTGAATAGTGTGTTGGGAAACAAAAGAATCTAGATTTTCTATCATTTTTTTTTTAGTCACCTTACACAAAAGTCTTATTAGCAAAATGTGCAACAATATCCAAGTTTCTATCACAGTTTATCTTATTTTGGAACCACAATAAACAATCCATTCCCTAGGAACATGAGATCTTTTGAAAATGGTACTCTTCTAATTAAACATACAATTAGAACATTTAAGCAGATTAATGCTAATTATAATCATTAAAATTTTTAGGTAGGCTTTCTTTCATTTACATGAAAGCTTAAAGTTAAAAGCCCAAAATGTTTGAGGCCATGTAGTTTTTTTTTTTAATTTTCTAAAGAAAACTTGCCAAATGTTTTAATGAAATGATTCATTCCATTTGTGATAAATTATTTAGTAGAATAGGAATAGCTTTGCGTCTGAATCTATAAAATTATTTGGCTATCTCTTCATGGTTTTGATTGTATCCAATATCAATTAATTTCTCTTGAGTATTGAGTTTTATGCAACTCTGGCTTACATCATATGACGAATAAGGAATAAAGTAATGACGGTCTTTCTAGGTTGAGGAGAAATTATAACTTAGTGCAGAAAACTAAACAAACAACTGTATTACAGGTCTACACTATGCCAGGCACTCTCCTAGGCAAGAAAACATAATGATGTCTAGACAGATATGACTCCACCCTCCACAAGCTCTAGAGTTAGTTAGCTAAAAGTTATTATGCTTCATCTTTTGCAGCTCCCTTTACATTATGTTTATGTCTAAAACTCTCAAATATATACTTAATCTGAACAGTTATAGGACTATCTCATGTTGGCCAGCCTTGGTTGATTTAACACCACTCTAAGAGTGAAGAAAAGTAACAAGACACGCAAACAATTAAAATTAATATGTAAACTTTGTCAAAATTTTGTAATCCCAAACCCCAACCATGTTTTCATCAGTCTGTATTTCCTCCAGTTGAAAAAATGCAACCATGCTAAATTCACCTCTTTATTATGTTATAGATCATATGACACACAAATGTGCTACTCAAATTCATCTTTTTGTTTTATAAATTGTATACACATATATTCATAAATCCACAAAATGTGTCTCATAGAATATATTGCAATTAATCCATTAGTCCTTATCAGAAAAATATTATCAATCACATTCTCTGCTAAACAGCTGACTGACTCATCATTTAGTAAAAAGATTTGTTGTTAGCTGTTGAAGTGGGGTTATTTAAACCATATAGATACTGGTCAATGAAATGCATAAACTTAACCATGAAACTAGTTTTCATCTGCTGTTTCATCTTGGGATGGTGAACAGACAAACCCAGTAATAACACCTCATATAAACTGCCACATTATATTAAATCTATTTCAAGGCCCAACATGACTTACTGAGTTCTCAGTTTCAAGCACTCATATATACTCATACTTTTATTTCATTGAATTTTGCTGTGGTTTCTCTCTCTCTCTCTCTCTCTCTCTCTCTCTCTCTCTCTCTCTCTCTGTGTGCATGTGTGTATGTGTGTGTGTGTGTGTGTGCGCGCGTGCATGTGTCTTACTTCAGGCTAAAAAGCAAAAATCAGCAAAAGGAAGCAATCAATCATTAGAGTAGCTTACACACATTCTCCTCATTACCAGCTTTGCTCACACCCTCAAACTGAGGTCATAATAAATCATGACCCTTAGCAACACCTGTCTATATTCTCAGAGAAACTGGAAATGCTGGTTAACGTCCACCTTTTCTGATATTCCTCCTCTTCATCACCATTTTGCATTTAAAAATAGCGTGCTGAAGTGGTTTGTATGGGTACCTTGAATGGCAAATAGTTTGATGGGTAGAGCAGAAGGTGCAGTGATAAGCAGGACTCAAGGAACATGGACTCTGCACTTTGATAAAGGCCACACAGGGGTGAAAAGCTCGGAGCACTGTGACTTGGCACACCAGTGATGGAATTCTTGAATGGGTTTAAAGAAAACTTCACAACAAACAACAATTCCAAAGAGAAGATTTGATTGTCCAGAAGCACAACTTGTTTGCTAAAACACTAAACCTTTCCAAAATGCTTTTAAAACAATCCCAGAGTGTCTTAAGAATTGCAAAAATACTATAATATTGTGCTAGAAAAATTCCCTTTGAAACAACAGAATTGGGGATGGCCAGCTGGGGTGGAATTTCTGGAGTATTTTTAGATACTTTGCCACCATTAATACACAAATCTACTTTTAATGTGTACCACTAGCATTTAAAAATATACTGAAACCATCTTACCTTAACATTTAATGAAACATACTTAATTCACAAATACCACATTTATCATACAGTATCAAGTTATTATCACCTAAAAGTGGTTGAGAAGGCTTTACAGTACTTATTATAGCTTTTTTAAAATTTGTTGAAGAAATTTAGTCAAGGAAATCATTGATATAATTAGAATGGGTTAAAAACAGAATATTCGAAGGAGATACTTGCATAAAAAACAAAGTATGAAGAATTACTTTAAAGTTGTATCACTATATTATCATACAGACACTTTAAAATAATTATATCATTTCCTACCTTGTAATTGTACCCGTTTAAATTTACACTAAGCAAATTATGACAAGCACAAACAGGCATAATGGAGAGGAGAGTGGATGGAAAGTCCCTTTGCCAAAACAAATATATTAAAATATTTAAAGCCGTCTAAAATTATCCTTGTGTTGTTTGCACGAAAATGTAGTATTTAAGGTATGAGTAAAATAGTTAATGGTACTGAAATATAAATATGAATATTATCCCATTATCCCAAATGTAATCCCCCCAATCTATGGTTTAAGTACTAGTACTTAAACCACAGTTAATGCAGGCTTGATGTATTAAGTCAAGGTAAAGTGGCAATAATGAAGATCTGAGGCACAGAGCTGCTTGATTCCTCTTTGAATGCCTACACCACCTAAAGTTCTCAAAGACATAGTTCATAAAAAGTTCCCCATGGGAATGTTTGCTCTTGGGAACTTTACAGATTTTTGGGAATGCCCCACTCTCAGGAAAACCATCACGTTGTTTCCGGACTAAATCAGCATTGTACTTTTTCCCACCTAACAAGTGGCTAGAAAGTCTACTTATATGTGAACCAAAGTCTTAAGCTTTTTCAAGAGGTGAATATTCTACACCCGTGTTTAATCAAAACGTATCTTGTTATTCTCTCCCTCAAAGTTCAAGACAAGTTAAAGAGAAAATGTTGCTGTCCGTAGTGAACTCAGATTGTGAAAAAGGAAAAAGAGAGTTAAAAATCAGTCATGATTTCCCATGATCCCATTCCATCATCAATATAGAACCTATATTCTGAAGAGCTGGGTCTTCATTCTAGACCTAACACCACAGGGCTTTGTGCTTTCAAAAGTTTTCATCAGAACCGAAGTGCAAAGAAACATACTTTCACATTTAGGAAACTGAGTCCAACACACACACACACACACACACACACACACACACACACACACACACACACACACACACTTTTTTTTGTTTATTTTTTTACCTGTTCTTATGTCGCGTCTTTAGCAAGTTTCTTCCAAAGGGAGCCATGGTCTGTCCAGGGAGGCAAGCAAGTAACACAGTCCTTATCTCCAAGTGATCTGGGCCTGGGGAGGGGTGCCTGGGTCCCTCTGGTGAGAGGAGGCCGGCCGGCGGGAGGCTTCCTCTTCACCTCCTCAGATGTTCCTGGCTTTCAGCTCATTAGCAGCCGGCTGAGAGAGCTGCTGGAAGTTGTGCAATTTGCTGCTTAACTTTGAACTGCGGGATTGTTGTAGCTGCTGCTCCTAGGGAGACCAGCCTAAGGAACTTCAGCCTGGGAAGAAGGTGTTTGTTTGGAAGCAGAAAAGCCAGAGAGAGGAGAGGGAGAGAGGAAGAGGCAGAGTAGAAGGAGGCAGGGAGGGGAGGGGGAACGCTATTGTATTCTGTAGCTATTTGCTGACTACCTAACCTCTAAAACCTGCCAACTACACAGGCATGGTAATAGCCATGGAATGGGAATTTCACTCGACTTGGAAACCCCCCCGCCCCTTTTCCTGCTTTCCACACCCAACCACACAAGGTGTACACACATAAAAGATTTTTAAACTAACCCCCTCCCCCACCCCGCCCCTCCTGCCAGCCAGCTCCAGTCTGTGAAAAGTAATCCGATCCTGGCAAACAGGAATGAGGGCCAAGAATGCCTTCCCTACCGACTCCCTACACGCAAAATAAAAAAAAAAACCCTCCCCCGCCCTGAATGCATGTGTGGTTAAGCCAATTGAGGTGTGCAGCTACTAGGAAATCAAGTTCCCTAGTTCTCCATGTTAAGAACTTTCCTCAACTCTACCCACGCCCGCGTCACCCCCACCCCCACCCCCCATCCCGCGCACACTCTAAAACTTGATCTTCCACAAAGGCTGCGAAGCTAGCAATTACTGCCTGCCGTGCAAAGGACTCCTTCTGGGTCTCTGGCTGACCCCTGGGAGTGCTGACATCCATCAGTCTGTGAGATCACTTACTGTGCCTCGGGGGACCTTGAGAGTGTCATAGAAAAAGTGAGCTGTTTGCCACCGCCTTTAACTATACAACAGTAGAAGGGGGTTATGGAACTAAAAAGTTAAAAAAAAAAATTACGGAGACTATGGTCAATCTCTCTCTCTCTCTCTCTCTCTCTCTCTCTCTCTCTCTCTCTCTCTCTCTCTCCCCCCCAGACTCGAACCCATGACCTGGGCTTATAAGAGTGAGTGGGCAGCTCGGGAATGCAGAAGGAAAAGCTATGCAGGCGAAATGAAAGGCGCTGGAGGATTTAGTTACCCTGGCGGGCCTTTCTTATAGATATTCACTCCCAACTCCCCACCAACAATCACGCCCCCAAGCACAACTCAGCTCCTAATCACAGGCTTGTGTGGTGGTGGTGGTGGTGGGGTGGGGTGGGTGTGTGTGAAGAGAGAGGGAGGAGAAAGCAATGGACTCCGGGCTTTACCACTCCCGGTTCAGGCTGATGATGCTTTGAGTCCCAGCAAAGCCCACAGATGGCCTAAGTTTTCTATGGAAGTCCTGCCAGTTCCCCAGCCCTAGCAAAGAAGACAGGATTGCAAAGGAATCCTTTTATTTTTTATACACACGGCTTTGTCCCAACTTTCACAGGGCTCAGAAAAGCCATTTTTCATTACGTAGTCATAACTTATCTACATATTATGTATATGTTTATGTCAATTAAAATTGTATTTTTCTTCATATTCTTATGTTATGCATATGGCCCCGAACCATTATAAATTTAAAAATTATACAAGACAGTGTTATAATTTAATTACTTTTTATAGTCCTAGAAGAACTGTTTTAGAATATATAATCATCTTTAAATGCTAGAAAAATATTTTTACAATAATAAAGGTGCCAATTGTTTTTTTTATTTACCTCTCTATATAAATACATGAGCATACATGTGCACTTTTCACTATATATATGTGCCTTTTTATTGTAATAAAAACACACATAATCTGAGGTATATTTCTGTTTCCTTCCTTTGCTAACACATAAAGTGATTTGAGTCATTAGTAAAGTTTACATACTTTCTCTAAGTTATTCTAAATTGCATTTCTACAGCTATGCGGTTTACATATAATATACTAATTTTGTCAATTTGCAGAGAATTTTGCATTTGCTGTTGTCTCTGTAGATCTCAAAATTGTGGTCCCCTACCTTTACTGACATTATTTGTAGAAATATGTATGTACATTATATTTTTAATAAAGACTTTTCATGGAGGAAGAGGAAACAGCATTACACCTTTATTAGTATAACCTTTATGCTACTTTCAAGTTACCACAAATGAGTTGCCTTTAACATGTTATTATTTGTCAATAAAACAGCCTATTAATACTCTTCCTGACCAACGCTTTCATGTGTAAGAGTTAAACACAAAGAGATTTGTATACATTAAACAAATGTGTTTTTATTTGTCAATTATATGTCAATAAAGCTGGGGAAAAGCCCAAATATTACCATCCCCTAGTTATTAAAAGCTGAAATAAATACAAAACATGGACTCTAGTACTTAAATAGAAAAATAAGAAAGCAACAACCCTAATCCTAATCCTAAAAGATAGTAACAAAACTATGCTTTATATTATCTGATGCATTTGTCTGATTTTTAAAATTCTAATGCTCTTCTCTGCTAATACAATGGTTGGAGAATCATATTCCATATAAATAGTATAAATGGATGTGTAATTTTACGAATTAACTTAGTTTTGTACAAGAATAACCTTCAAAATATTCAACATTGAAATAAAATTTATTATCAAAAGTTTTCCCAACAACGTAATGTTTCTGAAAAAGGCTAATGCTCACTGCCATTCATTTTGCAAAGTAAATCAAATAATGTATATGAAAAATTGACAGGTGGTTGTAACATAAATACTTTATTTTCCTTATAATTATCCCAAAATTGAAAATGAGGCAGAAAATGACTCCTTGTCCTTCCAATGATATAATAGAATGATTGTCTAACAGTATGTAATTATTCATATTATTGAGTTTATTGAGATTATCTGAGTGTCTGGAACAAGGCATTCTTATACTAGTTGTTGAGTAGGATGAAAATGATGCTAAATTTTAAAGCAAAATAGATAAACTGTAAACTATTTTTGTTCAGGAGCAATCCAAATAATTTTAATGGTAGGTGGTGGCTAGTATGTCCTTTCTTTCTGTGAGCACAAAGTTGAGCCCGAATAGAAAGTACATATTTCCGGTGTTATGATTGGAACCTGCTTTAGAATCTTTAGAAGGTGGGTTTTTCTGGTAAAGATAAGTCACTAGAGGAAGCCTTTAAAGGTTATATCCACCCCTCATTTCCACGTGTGTTCTGCTCCTGGGTCCCTGGCCGTGATGTGAACCTGCACCATCTGTGTTCCTGATGCTTTGCCTTCCACTCCACTAGAATGAACTGAACTTTCTCTGAACCATGAACCTAAATCAATCTTCAGTCTCAGAAGTTGTTACGATGGGTACTTGTCCACACTCATATGGAAGTAACTAATATCTGACCCTCATGTTTATATTGGCATATGAAAATCAACGTAGATGGCACTGAACTTGAAAATGACAAAATGAATATTTCCCCTAATAAATGAATATTATTTAATCTGTGATTTAGTTGGTACCGAAAGGTGAAAAGTGTTAAAACACTCTGACAGAAAAGCCCTACTTTTGTAGGCTACAAATAAGAAATATATTTGCCAATTGTTGGTACAGTGCATTTTTAAGCTCTATTGATATTATGAAGTCCCATTCCCTCACTGACAAGTAAATTTCAAGACAATTTGAACTGCTCTTTGCATGCACACAATGGAGTGTAGAGCCTTGGCACATATTCTGAGCCATTTATATCAACACCTCAATTATCTTCCTCCTCTAGCACATTAGAAAGCTAATCTTTTGAAAATACTTCTCTCTGTACCAGTGTCAGGAGACAGGGAGGGATTTGGGAGATGCAAGGCAAAGAATCCAAAGCAGCAAATATATAAGGTGATCGACTCCAGAGAGCTAATGTACAACGTGCAGGCCATGTCAACCAAGCATTAAATTCCTTTTGCTTAATAATTGCTCTTGCCATAGGAAAATACATCTGCTTCCAAAAATCTTCCACTAGTACAAATGATGTCATTATTTTCTTATCATGTAAAAATGGTATATTTACTAATTCTTTTCATTATAACAAATACTTTACATACATATTCCTCATCTGTTACATACCTTAAATATGCATAATAATTAAGCATGGAATACTATTATGCTCATTATCAGCTGAAATCTTTTTAAACTCTTACAGAATCAGCTCTGTAGCTTGGTATTGTGGGTTGCTATTACTGAGTTTTCTTAACTATAGAATGCATGATTTCACTGAGGGGCATAAAAATTAAAGTTCCTATGTTCTAACTACACTGAACTCTGTGTTACAGCTCTGATGTTTCCTTTTAGTGACTGTATGTAATTGGTAACTAGTCAGAGCCTAGGTTTCCTGCTCTGGAAAATGAAGAAAGGAATAATAATGTTTTCTAAGTCCCTTATGAAATGAAAGTTTAAGGGGTGCTTTTTCTTTAAAAAATATTTTACGTAGATGTTTTATAATCTCCATACTAGTCATTTCCTCTTCACATTTTAACAATTAAATTGGCTTACTGGTATTTTTTATCAGAAGCATCTGTGTTGGTATGAGCCAGTTTTCCCTGGGGCCTGTGTTAAAAAGAACAGCAGACCTGAAGTTCTAAGTCTGGGATTACACACAAGTGACTGTGAGCCAATTTGACACCACTTACATGGTAATCTATGAAGAAATAACACACTAGATAATTTGTTAAAATCCATTCGTGTATCTGACTTCCTGAAAATACTATTTTCAATTAAGAGGAAAAAAATAATAAAATGTGTAACCTTTTGTTTGGACAAGAGAGAAAAGATCAAAAATAATTAGAGGCTGTCAGATGGGTGTCCTAAAAATCAGTGTGTGGATCTTCAGGCAATTGGGATGTAGCAGATAAAGTGGCAGGGGACGAAACAGCACTGTCTATGAAAGAATGTATAAGAATCCACCCAGATTTGTGGACAGTAAGTAGCTCAGCTGAAGTCTAGAGTCTGTACATGATCGCTGTGGCTGTTTCCCAGTAAATATCTGTCATCTGCAATACTTGCTTGTGTTAATGTTGCCCATGGTTACAGAAAGTGTGTCTGAAACCCAGAATGGATGTGGCTTTGCCCACAAAAACCATTTAAATGCGGTATAAGTTTCAGGAGAGGTTTTCACCAAGGAAGAAGCAACAATCTGGAATGCTGTGGGCAAAGAGCAGAAGCTGAGAGTGTCCATTTCAGTTAAAAGACCTTACGGTGGCCATGTTCTTTTGATTCTCCATAAAAGACTAGAAAGACACTCCTAAGCTTTGTAGGACTTATATAGCTGGGGTATGTAATTAGTCATCCAGCTTCAATGGGTGTTTCCTTTAAAAATAGCTTTTAATTAATTAAACCCGGTGTTTGAATAGCTGACTGGCTGGGTGTTGACCAGATACTTGTGACCTAAATAAAAGGCCAAATGTTTTCACTAAGTAGCCACAGCTGTTATTAACTTTAACGAGATAAAGTGACAAATCTATCTAAGCCTGGCTGCTACTACACATTGCTCAAACTCAGGGAAAGTTTTGAAAGCTAGGAAACCTGGTACTTCAATAAAATATTTCAAAGGCATGTGTATATGTAAATGCCTCAAAAATACATTTATTCACAGTAAATAATATTATAATATTATTCTGTTCATTATACAAGGTACCTATTTTTTTGATACCTTATTTTGTCCAAGGTTGGTCATCAAAGAAGACAAAGCTATCATAATATTATTATATGATTTGAATTAAAAGTTACCCATTGATTACCTGGATTATGACTTAAAACAAAGAAAAAAATAGAATTAAAGGTGAATTTAGAATTTGTCTAAGAAATGTAGATACTCTGTGTCTAGTTTTTACTGTATAAATGAAGACTATGGGACCTAGCAATTAGAGCACTTGTTTAACTGATTGACCTGCACAGAACATAACCAAAACAGATTATATAGGTTAAACAGGTGTGTCAGATCTATCTTGAAGTCAACTGACATACAAAACTAAATAAACAGATATGTAGGTAGGTAGGTAGGTAGGTAGATAGATAGATAGATAGATAGATAGATAGATAGATAGATAGATAGATAGATAGGGCTAAAGTCTGTAGACGGAAAAAGAAATAGGATTTATCCATATAAGGATTCATGTTCCTTCCATGAATTCTGAATCTAGAAGGGAATAAATTAATTTATAAGCTCCAGGAGTCCAGTTGAAGAGAAGGAAGAGGGATTATATGAGCAAGGGAGATCAAGATCATGATGGAAAAATCTACAGACACAACTGAACCAAGCTCATAGGAACTCATGAACTTTAGACCGATAGCTGTGGAACCTGCATGGGACTGGACTAGACTCTCTGCGTATGGAAGACAGTTGTGTAGCTGGGTCAGTTTGAGGGCCCTCTGGTAGTAGGATCTATCCCTGGTGCATGAGTCAGCTTTCTGGATCCCATTACCTATGGTTGGATACATTGCTCACCCTTGATGAGGGGAGAGGGCCTTGGTCCTGACTCAACTGAATGTACCAGGCTTAAATGTTCCCTCAAGGGAAAACTTATCCTTTTGGAGGAGGGGAGGAGGGGAGAAGGGGTGGGTATGGGGGGGAGCAAAAAAGGGGGAGTGGGAGGAGGAATGAGAGGGGGATCTGTGGTTGGCATGTAAAATGATTTTAAAAATTTAAAAAAAAGAAAAAATTTTCTCATAAACTTAGATTTGGGGCACTAGTCTCTTGAAATATTCATTTCAAAGCAAAACATCAGGAAATTATGAGGCACTAAAACTATTTTTGTAAAATAAATAATGTTTTGTAGAGAGATGTGACATACTTATTAATAGAAAAGTATTCAAATTCTAATGCATTAGACACATTTTAAGATTCACAACTCATTTTTGGATGAATAAGGGATAGATAGTGAAAGAAATAAGATTCCATAAGTTTTCAGATATTATTTCGTGGGCCTTTTTTTTTTTCCTTTGCTGTGTTAGGGATCAAAATTTGGGTCTTACAAAGGTTAGGCAAGTGCTGTACCACTGACTTACAGGCTAGGCCCTGTGTTCTTTTTGATAGAGGTAAATTCAGTATCTATTGCCCAGAGACTCAATATCATAATCCAGGATGGCCTCAAACTTGCTGCCCTAGAACGCACAATCTTCCTGCCTTAGCCTATGAGTTCTGGGATTCATATACGCACTACCATACCTGGTACACTGCTTCTTTACCTGGTCCATGATGGCTGAGGTTTGTTGCAGAGAATTGATAGCAGGGTGTTGCATCAGATTCAGGAAGAAAATCAGAATGCCAGTCACTGCTATCTGTAGATTAGAAAAAGGATTCGAATTTATTTTCAATTCAGAGTATTTGACAGCTTTTCACAGGAGATTACCACCTGTCGATTTTAAACCCATGGGTTTGCTTCAAATATTAACTTAAAACTAAAGCCTTATATCTCTTTTTTTTTGAGAAGCATTATGTAAGTTGGAATATAAAGTAGGATATGCTTGAATATGAAGAAATGTGAGGAAAATGCTAATGGTTTTAATAGTAATGATTGGAGCAAATGTTATAAGTGGTTAACATACTAGTACTAAAATAATGCAACCAGAATCATAATTTGGTTTGCGATGATTGTTCCTTCCCAGTTATATTTGCCTCATGTTTAGCAGACAAAAAGCCGTGAAATTGATTTGCTCTCTGACAAAATAAATGCTTATCATCCATCTATATTATGAAAGCCCTAGGTTAAAGTCTCCTATTCAAAGAAGAAAAGGCATAATGCTAGCTGACAAAATTGTGAGTCAAATGAGGCGAGGAGGGTTTACATAAAAGACCATTCCTTGAATTGAGCTCTCTCAGTAAAATATATTTGTGATAATTAGAAGGGAAAGAAATCTTTTGAGGATGGAGGAAAGTCATGTAACTGAGGAGTGCTATTGTATACATGTTATCAACTATATATCACCTATAGCCCACTGCTGAATTTTTGTTCATTAATTGATACTTCGCTCTCACAGAGGAAGTTGGAAACAGTTTTATAAAGTGCATTCTATGCATGTGGTCTCAAGTCAACACTGTGCAATTTTTTTCCCTTGTGCTGCAGAAACATACTTATGTATACCAAAGCCCTAACAATAATTATTATGGACTAGATTGTGCCTCAATCTAAAGTCATATAGTGAAAATTTAATCCTCAATATGATTTTTGGAGACAGGACCATTAATTAAATAAATAAGGTTAAAGGAATCACAGGAATGGGCCTTCAAGCAGATAAGGTTCCTGTCTCCACTGAAAGAGAAAGAGATGCCCAACTTCTCTCACCACTTAAGATTCAGATGCAAGTTTGTATAGTAGGAATACAAAATAGCAATATCCCTATAATATATATAATCCCTATAAAGTCATAATGAGAAACTGGAATTTTAGGTACTATTGTTAGGAATTACTAGCTTCCAAAATGGTAAGAATATAAATTTTGGGTGGTTTAGCCACCCTGCATATGTCTTTCTTACGATGGGACCAAATAATATGCTCATTAAACACTAATAACCTTGAAACTGCATTCTCTAGTGGAGCAATATATTACTTTTATTACCCAAAAAAGGTGAGTTATCTTCGATTCCTTTGTCTTCTGGAATTAAAAATAAGTAGTTAAAATCTAAATCTAGAATCCTACTAAGAGTGCAGACCCCCAAGTCCATACCTTCCCTCTGAGCCTCAATATCACCAATTTTTCACTAAGTAAAACTTCCTACCAGATCAATAGGATACCAGAGTTTTTAATGTTATTTAAATCCAACCGTAAGCCAAACCAAACTTTGTACTTTTATTACTATGGCTCAATGGAAAAATCAAAAAACAAAACAACAACAAAAACAACAACAACAACAACAACAAAACCCAACCCTTTAGGGGTATAAATAAGGATACATTCTGGAAAGCTTGACAGGTAGGGTATACACCTTTATGAGTGCAGATTAATGATACAATGTGTGATCCTATGACATGACCATTAAGTTTTGTGTAGTTGTAGGTTTCTGAGATTGGGACAGCAGTGACTACAATTATAAATTTGAATATCTACTTTTTGAGACTAAACCTATTAAACAACGAAACTAGGATAGGTTAAAAAATTCTCCAACTTCACCTGGTAGTGGTGGAGCCTGCTCTTTGTAGATAATGAGGGGAGTAAAGAAGACATACTAGGTTTCTTGATATTAAACTTATTTCATAAGGTCAGTGATAGATTTCTATTTACAGCAGTAGGACTGTATTGCACAAAGGATCCAGTGGGTTAGATTTCAATGTAGAAACAAAGTTTCATTGCACCTAAGAGTTGTAAAAATTAGAATCTAAAATAATGGTCTCAGATGTGAAAACAAGATTACTGTAATGAATAAAGGTACTTCATGTTTGGTCATTAAGAGAAAATACTGATTCTTGCATGTTCCTACATACAATTGGTTAAGTTGATTGCCCTGTTTTTGAGTACAGAGTAGTTCACAGTGACATTTCTAATGGATCAAAGTAAGTTAGGCTGGGTACCTTGTTCATGAGTAGAAACCAAAATAGATAGATAGATAGATAGATAGATAGACAGATAGATAGATAGATAGATAGATAGATAGATACATAGATAGATACATAGGTACATAGATAGATACATAGATAGATAGACAAATAGATGATAGATAGATAGATAGATAGATAGATAGATAGATAGATAGATAGATGATAGACGATAGCTACATAGATACATAGATAGATACATAGCTTTGTAGCTAGAAATATGTATCATTTTCACCATTAGGCTAAGAAGACTGCAGTTTCTATCTTGTGCTCAAAGTCATAGTTCAGGAGTTCTCTTCTCAAAGTGTGGATCATGACCCCCCATGAGCAGTTGAATGACTTTTACACAGGAGTTACATATCAGAGATCCTACCTATCAGATATTTACATTACAATTCATAGCAGTTAGAAAAATTAAAGTTCTGGCTGGGCAGTGGTGGTGTACACCTTTAATTACAGCACTCAAGAGGCAGAGGTAGGTGAATCTCTGTGAGTTCGAGGCCAGCCTGGGCTACAGAGTGAGTTCTAGGAAAGGCACCAAAGCTACACAGAGAAACCCTGTCTCGAATAAACTAATAATAATAATAATAATAATAATAATAATAATAATACAGTTCTGAAGTAGCAACAGAATAATTTTATGGTTGGGGGTTGCCACAGCATGAGGAATGGTATTAAAGGGTCGCAACATTAGGAAGCGTGAGAACTGCTGTCATATGTAAAGGACCCTCTGGAGAAGTGCTGTCATGTTGTAAATGCAGTTTCACTTGATGTGAAACTGAAACTTGTCACAATGTCTACCTGAGTTCTTCATAATAACTATCTTAGCTTCTAAGCATGTGAAAAAAAATACTTAAATAGATCAGCTTAATAAAGGAAAAACTTTATTATGGTTTAAGAGGATGTAACTAACCCATGGCTGCTTGTCTCTCTTGCTTTGGATACAGTATATCATGACAGGTGCTGTGTGTGTGTGTGTGTGAGTGTGTGTGTGTGTGTGTGTGTGTGTGTGTGTGTGTAAGAGGAAGCTGCTTTCTTCATTGTTTCCAGGGAGAATGGTGAGAACATAAGGAGGCTGTAAGTGTCCTTTTTAATGAAAATACATATATGACCCAACCTTCTCCCAAGTCCCACTTGCTCCCATCCAAATACTAACCAGCTTTGACTCTGCTTAGGTTCTGAGATTAGATGAGATTAGGCATGACCATGAACTTATGGCCATTAATTAGGTCCATTTTGTAAATATTCTACCATCTTCTAATAGTGCCACAGAATTGTGAGCAAGCCTTCCACATATGGGCCTTGTGGAACACTCTGTATCCAAAGTACTGTACTAGGTTTCTGGTCTTCAAAGTTTCATGTCCATCTTACACTGAATACACCAAGCATTCAGTCTGTCCAGGGAGTCCTAAATCTTGTCTTCAAGGATTAATCAAATGCTCAAGCTCACTATTTCCTCAGAGACTCACAACAAACTTAATGTAGATTGGTATTTAAAGGTTAGGAGGAAATGAGTTTACATACCATGAGTATATAGTGGCTCAGGGTGCACATTCCCTTTTCCAAAGGAATAAGAGGATTTGGTCAAAATGAGACTGAAATGCAATAGAGCTAACATTAAGTACTCTGTTTTCATATCCCACTTCTAGGACACAGAGTAGTATAATGTGAGCTGGAAAGGGTTTGAGCAATATCACCTCTATGGACTTACTAGCTGTATCCTTCAGGGCCATTCTCATGGGTCAGCTAATCTTATTAGTTACAGTTTTCCTTGCAGGGATACCAAGTTGTTCACATTTATAACATGCTGGACTTTTCACTGCAGTTAGGGTTTATTCCTTCAACTTCTCTAATGGTCCTTTAATGGCTGTTTATAGGAAATACAATCCCATTATATACTACCTGGTCTCTCAGTCTTTCCTTTGAAACCTTGGTGGATGCTTTCATGAATCAGCAACTTGAATTTTTATTTGTTTTCCTTCTTCAATTTTTATTGATTCTCTTTGGATTTCACATCATCCATCCTAATCATCCTAATCACACGTGTCTCTCCATCCCCTTGCTTCTGCCCTCTGCCCATGCCACCTTCCCTCCAAAACAAAACAAAATTGAAAAGAAAGAACACCTTTTGAATTTTTCATGCCTACAACACTGTATTTGTCATTTGCACAGTGTCAAAATCTGCCTCCAGAATAAGCCATTCCTGGGTGCAAACATACTTTCACAATGAAGTCATAAATCAAACACTCCAGTGTCTAATGTAAGACATCTCTATAGGAAGCTTTGGTCAGAGAAGTCTCAGAGGTCTCAAAAAGAACAGAGGCTCTTACCACCCCCCTTAGTTATTTTCCAAGATCAGCTAATAATTCCATACTCTTGTAGACACCATATATCTTTAATTCAAGAAGTAATAAAATTAAGATGAAAATGGGTTACTACATCCTTCCATGCTGGTGTCTATCATGGTGCTAGACATTACTTTACAAGCTGCTGGGGGTAAAGACGTGGGAGCCCTACCACAGCTGTGAACTCTATGAACTATAATGTGAGCCAGCTGGGCAAGACATGCACTGTGGTGTAATAATGGTACGGCTGTTAAGGGGGGCAGTATAACTAACCCCAGTTGTAGTTGCTCTACACAGGAGAATTCATGCCATGTTGGCATTCCAAGAATAAATCTATTTTACAATGGATTGTTTGGTTTGGTTGGTTCATTTCAATCTGTCCCTACAGGAATACTGGCCTTTAACTTTCTTTGTTATCTATAAGTGTCCTTGTGGAGACTTGTTATCAGGGCAATGCTGGTCTCATAAACTGAGTTTAGAAATATTTCTTTTGCCTCAATTTCTTCCTTAAGTATGAAGCTGGAGTTCTTCACTGCAGCTACCAAGCTCTGAAATTTTCTTTAATGGGAACTTTTTTTTTTTTAATTGATTCATTCTTACTACCCATTATTGGTCTGAGTACCTGTTCTACATTTCATGATCTCTTCTTCTAAGGTAATATATATGTAGGGATTTGCTTATTTCTTCTAGATTATCTGATTTGTTGATACATAACTCTACAAACTATTTTTTTTAATCATCTTTGGAGTTGTTTTCTTTGATCGTAGTTGTTTTTCTAATATCTTGTTTTTTCTGTTCTTTTTTTTTCTTCATTGTATTAACATTTAGGCTACTCTTTCTCTTTTATTTTGCAACATTTTCTGGTGTAATGTTGGGTTGACGTTTTTATGTCCTTTGAAAAAGCATAATGTTCTTTGTTCTTAGGACTGATTTTTATCTCTGCCCAAGTTTCTGTGTGTTAATTTAAAAATTTTAACTCCATGTCTCTAGTTTTTCTTTTGATTTCTTTTTTCGTCCATTGATTTTAATGGCATGTTGCTTAATTTACACATATTTTTGAATTTCACAGAATCATTTCTAATGAATATTTTCAATTTCATATTACAATAACTGAATTGTTTTTGATGAAAAGTATCTGAATGATAAAGAAATGAAAAAATTGACTGAAAACTGCTATAATCATGGTCTGTTAGATACTCATAGATACGATGCTTATTTTAGAAAAAAAGAAAACTCCCAGAATTAAAGTTCTAAGGGTTACCTATAGAAACTAGAGAGCGAACAGTAGTTTAAAGCAAAATATCAAGAAAGAAAGAAATAACAGCGTTAAGAATTACAGTTAAGCCGGGCGGTGGTGGCGCACGCCTTTAATCCCAGCACTCGGGAGGTAGAGCCAGGTGGATCATTGTGAGTTCGAGGCCAGCATGGACTACCAAGTGAGTTCCAGGAAAAGGCACAAAGCTACACAGAGAAACCCTGTCTTGAAAAAAACCAAAAAAAAAAAAAAAAAAAAGAATTACAGTTAATGCAATAGAAAGTTAGTGGGAAAAATAAATACTAAATATTATTTTTTAAAGAATAAATAAAATTGATAAATATTTAGCAAAATTTAGCAGAAAATAAAAAAGAAGTGCATTAATAGCCATTAAAAAGAATATTAATATAGATCTCACAGAAAAATAACTCATAAAGTACTATAGTCTTCATTTATTTGGCAGAATTGTATTTAATTAAGTTTAAAATTCTATATTATAGGGGGACATTATTGAAAAACTGAAATCACTGAAGGTTATGCAGCCATCACATTGTAATGCATCTAAAATCAAGGAAATCCTTATTGAAGCAGTATCTCAGTTGCTTTTATCAGAATATGAGGGAGTTCTCATATGATAACAACACTGAAAGATGATCACTAAAATGTATGAGGTTTATCCTCAATATTCTCATAAGTTTTTCCCATGGGGGAGAAAAAAGTCTAACCAAGTGCAAATATGTCTCGTAAGTCTTAAATGAGACAGGCTGCTTGCTTGAATCTCTTAAGCACTTCAGTATGTATCACACTTATGTCCATTTCCACTTGGCATCAGAGCCAGACAAGACAAAGATTAAAAGGATGATGGTATTAAATAATGTAAGAAAAGATTAACTGAGTAGAGAGTCTATAATATAGAGACTAACAGATCTGAGTTTGCAGGAATATGGCAACAGAATTGAATGCACCAAAAGCAGGAGTCAAGTTACAACAAGGGCATAAAACACAGTTGTCCAAAAGGAAAGTCCTTTTACAAAACGCATGACTAATATCTTTTGCATGAGCTGCAACTTACAAGGATACAAGACTAACAAGTGAGAAACCCTCAGAGTAAGTCAATTTTTCAAAATAGTTCCACTGATGTTCCATGATAACCTACCATTAGGGTTTGGTGTGAGATTAGGTAAGTGCCATCAAAACAAACATTGTTAAAACATCGAAAGATATCTAATAATATCTATCCTGCATTTCTGTCTGTGAAAAATAAAAGTCCAAGACCAGCTCCATCTAACTTTTTCCAGGTCTAGTGTTCACTAAGTCAGTGACTCATGGTGATGTTCAAATAGTGTCTACTCTTAGCAAGAGTTCCCAGCTGTCACAGCCACTCTTATATACTGGTGCCTCCACCTAGAGTACAGAGTGAGAAATGCTCTTTTTCTACTACTACCCCTCAGGTTAGACCCCAAGTCCACTCTCTTCAGCTCCTCTGTTTTAACCTGCTAACTTTGCACCCAGTTAAAGCTATGCAATCCCTACAAAGACCATTTAAGTTTGCCTTCTAAGAATTCTGATGTAAAGGGTCTATGCACTTAAGATCTATGACATGTACAGAGGAAACAAAGCATGGTTAATATAATGGCAAGGGATCTAAAAACCTAAACATCTTATTGTTTTACTGAATGTATTTTCAAGTTAAAACACTAACTTATCCTTTATTGGAATAATATATTTTGTAATACATTCATACAAAATATCTCTGGCTTGAACACTGTATTATTGGTGTAAGAAAGATTATCTGTCTTTGGCAATGAAACAATTTTCATTCTTACTAGTACTCTAATAAGAATACTTAGCCACACTTAAGGCAAATATTATCTTTTTATTTTTAAAAATCTTTATGTTGTGTTAAGTATCATTCTATGAGATTTGTTAAAAAAAAACTTTCCTAGTTTATGTGAAGTCAAAGTAACCTGACAACATATCTCTCATAGATATTTTTTAATAAGTGAATTTTAGATTCATATATGGGTTCTTAGTCCTCTGATGTTGGTTGTAATGGCTGTTTCTAGCTTCACTCTTGCTTCTGTCTCTGACAACTTTATGCTGCAGAGTCACTCTGTACAAAATGACTCATCAAATTGGGGGGGATTTTTCAGGTGCTGTTAGTATTACTTCTACCCACTCAATTCTCAATGGCAACTTACAAAATGTCACCTGCAATTTAAAAACAATACTCAAGACTCATTGAAAGGAAGTTCTTTTCTACCTTTTCCTGTAGCTAAGAGTCATCTCAAAAGATTTCTTTTACGAGAGTCACCCTTTGTAGATTGGAGAATAAAATGTTCTTTTTGAGAGGTGAGGAAAAGAATGCAGTTATGCAATTAGTAGGGCTATTTGGAATTTCATTAATGCATTTCATTATCAATATTTACACAATGCCTTCTATGGAGAAGCATTTCATGTTTGGGTAATTGAAGGAAACAAGATAAACCAGGTCTTTACTTTTATAAGCAAGTGGCAAAAATAAATAGACAAATTAAAAGTGCAAGTGATTGAATTGGTCCCCAATGGAGTGGGTTTAGAAATTGATGCATTATTAGTCAGCTATTGCTACAAAAGCATAATTATTTAAAACTAAGCAGTGAAACCAGTTCCCGTGACTATGAATTAATTCATGTAAATCTAGCTTGAGCACAGAAGCCTCTGATTTGTATTGCAAGGTTTATGTTAGGTGGGATGGCTTTAGTCATATGTTTCTTTTGATGTTGGGTTTATTGAATAAAAGTTATTCTTTAGGCAATGACAGAGAAATAAGTAAACAAGCCTGATGTGTCAAAGACATATCAGTTTTCCTTCCGCTTGCTAGCATCCCATTGGTCAAAGTCAGTCCCATAATTGTAGCTAATATCAAACAGTGAGGGATATATTTTCTCTATTCAAATAGTCATCAGGGAGTATTTGTTACATACTATTCTAATCTTAATATTAATTTTATTTTTATGAAAACATTAGGTATGTTTTCAAAAGAGCAAGAAGATTAATAGGGTTGAAATTTAGGCACAGAAGAGGAGGATGATATGATTTGGTGACCAAAAAAGAGATAAGGGCCCACTCTGACACTACAGACGGAAGTCAAGACTGTTCTCTAACTACAAATAAAAGCCTTTGCATTCTTTGATGTAGAGAAGGACAAGAATAGGGTTACATTTTACAAACCAACTCTGTACCTTGTGCAATATCTTCATTGGAAGAGATCATGGGTGAATCAGAAAGGAATTCTTGGGTGGCCATGGTTGCAACTCAGGAGAGAGGCTTTGAGCTGAAGCTGGATGATGATAATAAAAGAAGACAAAGCATTTGGATATGGTACATAATTTAATGTCAGACTTGTTCTCCCATGAGCTTTTGTTAGCTCAGAATTATTTGGAGATGGAAGATATAAAAAAACTCAAAGATGATAGCATCCCTACATTTTGATTATATGCACCTCAACAAATCATAATTTGAATAAGTAAAATAAAACAAAAGAGGAGGAGGCTATAGTTAGTAAGTAGTTTGGGATCTAAAGGTTTACTGTGGACAGGATGCTGACCCAGTGAAAGTTCAAGCTGCTGTGGGATGTGGTTCTCTATCCTGTGAATATTTGCTCTGAATGGTTGATAATTAAAACGATGTTTTGGCTGGTAGCCAGGCAGGAAGTATAGGTGGGACAAG